CGTTTTGGGCGGAGACGGAGGCGGGGGTGACGAGGGCGATCAAGAGGCGGAGGTGGGTTTTAAGGGGTCGGCATGGAGGGGTGTTACGGAGGAGGGGAAAGATTTGATTTTGCGGATGCTGGATCGGGACCAGAAGAGGCGAGTCTCGGCACAGGAGGCTCTAGGTGGGTGCTGTTGGGTAAGATGGGTCTTCCTGTTGGGTAAGGTGGGTCCTGTGGAATGAAATGGGTCTTGTTGGACAAGTGGGTATGGTTGGATAAGGTTCATCGGAGGTACGTGGAAGCATTATGCATTGAAAGCTTCGCGAGTCAGGTGTGAGGGAGGGCATGTGCAGGAACATGGGCTTGTGAGTGGGCTCTTCTTCTTGCTCCCACTTACATTTTGTCTCCTATGCTCCCCCTTGTGTTCTGATGTGGGTGAGAAGATGCTGTTTGCATGTCCTTTTCCTTCCTTTACCTTTCCCTCTTCTCCCTTCCTGTCTTGCCTTCGCCTCCCATCCTACTCATTCCATTTCTCTCTACCATGCCGACTTTCCATTGACTGCCTTGTTCTGGTTGCAGAGCATCAATGGTTCAGTCGTTTTCAATAAATCATTACCGAGGAACACTTGTCAAAATATATTTATGTGTGTTATGTTTCTTAGGCTAGTGAGTTGCATTGTATAGGGTACAACACTTTCTAGGTTAGAGTTAGTTATATGTATCACCTTGTTACCTAGTTCACCCCACAAATCTCCTCTCGAGATAGTACACAAAACAACTTTCAAAATGTCATGCCTAAGAGTTGCTGCCACGTATTGAACCATGGCACCTACTTGGTGCTCGATTGGACTCCAAAAAAACCAACTACCATTTTGTTGCAACCAATGCAACTGACACTGACACAACCAAAGACACGAAGGAGATCAACGAGACTCTCGAGGCCAGCAAACCAAGAACCAATCGCAAGGATAAAGAGTGTTTGCCTTTCAAATTCTATTCAGAGCGTCCAATTTCTCAACCGAGCAAGAAGAGAGCTTGCGATACTCCACTCGCTGCTGCTGTCACCATCGCAGCATCTGCTATCAGACCTTCTCCAGAGCTTGTTAATCGGCCTTTGAAGACTTGTACTGATACGATGGCTGCTCCGCGTCAGAATTCTGTCAAAGTACAATATCACTTGTAGGCTGTAGTGGGCCACTCCTTATGGGGTACAGCACTTCTAGGGTTAGTACTCGTACCCAAACTCTTCTCTTGCTAATCCAATCATTCCTGCACAGTTATCTTACAAATTCTGCTCATGAGAGTCATGACACTGTCATGTTGGACTTATTTGATTTCCTTGGAGATGTCAATAACCTCAACGAGTTTAAGCTGAAAGTTATCAAGGATAAAAAAAAATAACTTCCTGAAGTATCGTACGCTGATGCTGCTATACAATTTTATGGAAGACCAGAAGACGAACGGGGTTATTTTCCACAGCATCCAGATTAAGCCTTTCATCTTCGTCTGCCATTATGAAGAACTCCGTCAGGAAGATGATATGGATCGTCCGGCTGCCTGTATGGCTTACTGCAAGGAAGCACCGTCGATCTTAATTTCCAAAAAGGAGTTGAACAGGCTCGTAACGACAGTGCGGATGTATACTAGCGTCTTCAAGATCATATGTTCGAACCATGTTAGATTTCTTGACCAGCATTGGCCGCCCCTTGACCAGAGCTGACTGCCTGTTGACCCGTGCTGACCACCTGTTGACTCGCATTGACTGCTCCCATGATCTCCCTAACCAACTCCTACATCAACTCCTGCACGCGAGGCCCCAGCACCTGCAGCCCTGCCATGCCGCCCGCCCCTTGTGTGCCGCCCAACCCTCCTGCTCCTCTTGCCCCTGCTGCCGCCCCAGTTTCCCCTACTCCCCCTCCCACCCCTCCCACACCTTGTACTCTCCTCCCTTCTCCTGCTGTGTCTGCTGCTACTGTACCTGCTACTGCCGTTCCACACCAACTCCACCACCTCCTGCCACACCCCCACCGTCTGCCACACCTCCACCTCCTGCCACCTCTCCCACTGCCCCCGTTTGCCCCATCGTCCCCAATCCCCTCGAACCAATTCCCGTTTCCCCCATCCGTGTTCCCCCATTATCGTTCCCACCATGCTCGTCCCCCCTCTTCCCCTTGCCCCCATTCCTATACTCCCCATGCCCACCCCGCTGTTCCCAACCCCACCGTTCCCACCCCCGCCGTCTTCACCCCCGCCGTTCCCACCCCCGCCGTTCCCACCCCCGCCGTTCCCACCCCCGCCGTTCCCACCCCTACCGTTCCCACCCTCGCCGTTCCCACCCCCGCCGTTCCCAACCCCGCCATTCCCAACCCCGCCGTTCCCACCCCCTCCGTTCCCACACCCCTGCAGTCCGCCCCACCACACCAGCACCCCCAGCCACACCTGGCAGCCCCCCAAGCTACTGGTCTGTGAGGGGCGCATTCCCCCCAGCAGCAGTGGCAGCTTGAATCCCGGACAGCTGCCTGTCGACAGCCTTGGCATGGGCGCGGCGGGCAAAGAGGGTCTGCAGGGCGGGGCTCATGGCCTAGAAGGCGTGGGCGTCGAGGGGGCGCTGCAGGAAGGCGTCGATGGCCGCCACGCGCTGCGCGTCTGTCAGAGAGGGGAGGGCAGCTGAGAAAGTCGGCCTTCAACAACCGTCCTGCTCGGTCAGAGCAACCACAACGGCAAGAAGGTAGTAGTAACAACAAGAAGACTTTCTCAGTTAATAATTTTCAGAAGACTGTTGCTGCTAAGAAGAAGAACTAGAAACCGAAACAGACTTCTAAACGCGCAAAGACCAGCAACGGCAATAAGAGGCAAACAAGACTCGCAGCGTAGTCAAGGCGGCACAAAGCGGCAAAGTCAACAAGCTCAGCAACTAAGGCAGACGCAACAGTAGACTCAAAGGAAGGGTCAATCACAACTGTGGCAAGGAGACGAAACAATCGGACAGGCAGCACGGACAAGGTCAGACTCAGGGTCAGGAACATGCGGAGAGAGAGGGACGCGGGAGGCGACGGCAGGACAACACACTGTGGAACAGAGGAAGGACGGAGTGTCATATCGTGAGTGCCCGGTACAGCCGGAGCACGAGGAAGACGAACACGACGAACACGAGCAGGGACAGAAGCTCTAGTCTCAGGCTCTCAACGCTCAGGAGTGGAAGCACGAGTCTTAGGCTCACGACGCGCAGTCAGGGACGCAGTCACCTCAGCGTGAGGAGCAGGAGCAGGCAGCGGGGAGCCAGGCAGTAGCTGTGGCTGAGACTGGTCAGTCGGTGGGAACAGTATCGGGGGAGTAGTACCAGCAACCGGGAACTCAGTAGCAGCAAGCGGGAGACTGAGAAGGTGACGAAGCGCAGACGGCTGCGGCTGAGTAGTCGCACCCCCAGAACCTCCAGCTCCAGTAGCAACAGCACCCCCAGAACCAGTACCACTAGCTTTACCATCGGGACTGCCCCAACGGACAGCCCACTCGCGAAGCTGCAGCGGCGAGAGCGACTCTTGCCGACTAGCACCACTAACTCCAGTACCTCCAGTAGTACCTCTAGGAGTACCTCCTGTGTCAGCACTGCCTCCTGTACCAATACCTCTAGCACGGGCAACTCCAGGACCACTAGTACTAGCACCTCCAGGGCCAGCACCTCCAATACCTCCAGTAGCACCTGCACCTCCAGTACCTCCAGCAGCACCTGTGTCTCCAGTACCAGGAACACCAGAACTAGCACCTCCAGGGCCAGCACACCTGCAGCTCCAGCACGTCCAGCGCCACCACCAGGAGTGCCCGCAGCAGCACCCACAGCAGCAGCACCTCCAGCAGCACCAGGAGCCCCAGCACCTCCAGCTCTAGTAGGACGAGCACGGCTAGCTCCACCACCAGGGCTGTCCCACTGTACAGCCCACTCTCGAAGCCACTCTAGTGAGAGAGTCTCCTGCCGACGTGCACTAGTACCACCAATAGCAGAACCTCCAGCTCCAGCAGTGCGAGCACCTCCAGCTCCAGGAGTCCCAGCACCTCCCGCTCGAAGACGGCTAGCTCCATCACCAGGGCTGCCCCACTGGACAGCCCACTCGCGAAGCCGCTCCGGCGAGAGAGCCTCCTACCGACTCGTACCAGGACCACCAGCACCAGTACCCCCAATACCTCCTGTACCCAGAGGACACTCAGCACCCCCAAAATCAGCACCCCCAATGGTACCACCTCCTGCAGCACCAGGGTCCACAGCAACAGGCTACAGCGGCGGTGAAGACGGTCGAGGCGGAAACCCAGGAGGGACCGCCAAACGCGCAGAGCTGCGAGGGGTCATGGTGGTAGCAGGAGTCAGGTCACCCCCCTCAACTGGGCCAGAGGTGTCAGAGAAGACCTCAACTGGCTCAACCAAGGGGGACGGGTCAGCCTGAGACACACCTGAGAGAGCAAGACCGAGCGGGGGGAGTGGGGCTACCGGGGGGGGGGGGGGGGGTCGAAGACCAGTGTGAGAGGCGGGAGAGGCACAGGGGAACTGCAGTGGGTGTGGAGACGGTAGAAACAGAAAGATTTGTCAAAGGTGACGTCCTGGGAGGAGAGAACACGACGAGAACCCGGGTGGTAAAATTGCCAGCTCGGGGCGTCGGTAGGGAAGCCAAGGAAGACGCAGTGAAGAGTGCGGAGAGAGAGCTTCCCCGCAGGGGGGTCGCGAACAAGCGAAAGGGCACCCCAGACTTGAAACGGCGACGCATCACCAACCTCGCCCGTCCACCGTAGAGTGGGAGAGGTCTCCGGGTGGGAGACACGGGGCCAGAGGTTGAGTTGCTCAGCAACGTATCGGGCTGCAAACGGCCACAAAAACTGGGGAGCAGCCGCATGGACGATGGAGGTGCGAGTAACCTCCATCACCAAGCCAATGCCGCGCTCTGCAATCCCATTCCGCTGTGGAGAGGCCGAAAGCGTGAACGTCTGGCGGATGCCCTCAGCACCACCTCGGTCAGAGTGCACTCGCAGGACCAGGATGTCCTGACGAAACCGAGCACTGAGCTGGCAACGGACAGCACGGATCCAGCGGATCAGAACACTGCGGACCTCCGCCTTGCTCTGCAAGGGGAAGACCGTTGTGTAGCGCGTGTAGTCGTCTACAACCAACAAGAAGTAGCGCTCTCCGCCATGTCCAGGGACTCGGGCTGGACCCCACACGTCCATGTCAAAGGTCTGCAGAGGAGCTGTGGTCGGAGGAAACGAGGAGGAGTGAGGAGCAGCGCGCTGCCGCCCCTCGACGCAGGGAAGACACGGCGGCGCAAGCGACCTCGGGAGCGGGGGTAGGGACCTAGGAAGCCCAGAGTCAAGGAGACGCAAGTGCATGCCACAAAGGCGTGGCAAGGAGGGGTGGCCAAGACGGTGGTGCCAGAGGAGAGTCTGGTGCATGAGGAGACGACACGAGCAAGACGCAACGACTTCAACCAACGCAGCTACCTGACCTGACTCAGCTACCAGTGCAGACTCAGTGGTCAGTGTGTACAGGCTAGACCCAGGCCTCCGAGTGAACTTGGCGAGGTGCTCACCAGTGCGCAAGTCCGTACAGATTGCCACTAGCTCGCCTCGAGGCTGGGTGACAGTGACCCACTGGTCCTGGAGGACAAAGGTAGCCACCAAGTTCTTAGCAAACGAGGAGGTGGAGACCTGTGAGGAGGCCCGAAGGGGCCGTCGGATAAGGGAGAATAGTGGTGCCACGCACGACAACCGGGCCCCCTGGAGGGGTCGGCTAGTGTGACAGGGACAGGGACTGTGAGCGGTGTGACTGTGGTGCTGTCGCGGAAGAAGCAACGAGACGTTCTTGAGTCGAGCGTAAAAGTGTGCAAGGCCTCCTTAGGCTCTGCACCTTGCTAGCTCAGTCAAAAGCACCAAGACTAGCAACCTCTACTCTAGAAATCCCCTCAACACTAGCAGAAGCAGCATACATTGCATACATGCCAGCATGGATCACGTCCCAATCACAAGCAAAGACATCGATGTCCTTCTTCAGCAAAGTTAACCAGTCAGGAGTCTTCATCTGCTCACCATGCTCCGCACGATACAAGTCCGTCGATGCAAAAGAAGCAGGAAGACTCTGTGTGATCGTGCGGGTGCAAGCCGCGCCAGGGTGACTGGTGCGACGGATGTACCCACAGTGAGCCTGGGCCACCCGAGCTGCCACGCCTGACTGCCCACTCCTAAAGCTGCTGCTGCGACGAGATCTGCAGCTGTCCACGCCCCAGAGCCGCCTCCACCACCGGCTGCACCACCAGACGTAGCAGTGCGCGTAGTCAAGCCTCCAACTCCACCCCCTCCAGCTCCACCCCGAGCGCCACCCCCGCCCCCTCCACCACCCCCACTGCTCACACCCACCCCTTCCACCTTCCAACTGGCCTCCGCCACCGCCCCCTGCCTCCCCCATCACCTCCACCACAAACGCCCTCGCCACTACCACCACACCCCCAACCCTCCCCCACAACCACCCCCTAACCCTTGCCCCCCTTGCCCCTATTTGCCGCTCTTGCGCCTCCCAGCAGGAGCAGATGCAGCACCAACCTCCTCAACACCAAGGAAGTCGACGGCAGCAGCAGAGGCAACAGAGGACACGAGCAGGGAGGAAGAGCACCCCTCAAAGACAGAGGGGAGGGGAGTACCACGAGAGGCAGCTATAGCTAGGGCAGCAGACTCAGCCTCTAAGAGGCGTTTCTCAAACGAGTCTATGGTGACTTTGGTGGGGTCGAGAGAGAGTAAGTGATCACGAACAGCACAAAGCGTGTCAGGGAGGCGAGTCGTGAGAAAGTAGTGGGTGAGATACATGGGGGGCTTGTTCTCAGCCAAAAAGTCGGCATCTAGCGCAGTATGGTAACGGGTGTCAAGAGAGCGCAAGTGCGTGATGAGGTCGGCTACTGTGGTGAAGTCGGCGAGCTCAGGAAAGAGGAAATGTAGTGCCAAGCGACCTATCGTGGCAGAAGACGGGGAGGAATAGCGTTTGACTACAGTGTCGTAAAGCGCTTTGGCCGTCTTAAGCTGGCAAAAAATGAGAGCGCTGGATCAGTCGGAATGTGGTTACGGACAGCAAGAGCTGCACTGTCTGCGGAGATAACTCTTCAACGAGAGCTAGCTACGGGATAGGCACGGGGTAGGAGGGATCTCTGCGTTCGTTCACTTAGTCATTTCCTTGTGCGCACACTGCTTGCTAGTTTACGGGGAGAATTGGCAAGAGTTCCACTAGGAAAAGTTCAGAACAAAAATGGTAGCAACGACCATTGGCATGCAAGACTACATCAGACCTAGCAAGGCTGCTGGTCGACTTCCAGCACAGCACGGTCGACCTTGTGCCAGCACGACTTGGTCGACTGCCGCTCCAGCAGTGCAGAGTCGCGGTCTTGCCAACACATGCAAGTCGACGGCGTGCCAGCGTTGCTCCCGTATAGAGCAGGGCAGCCACCTACTGTCGCAGGTGCTCGCAGATGATTGGAGTGCTGTGCCTCTCACCTGCACAGCGGCACACACCAAATCAACCTCGTGCTGATAACTGCATCTGATCGGCCACGTCGGCCTTGGGATACCACCATCGAGGTCGGCCTCGCCAAAACCACCTGGGCGACCGTCGCACTCCTCCGCAAACCTTGTCACCCAGGTAACCTGGTCGATCAAGGCAACCACATCAACCAGCTCCTTCACGTGCCCGGTCGACGCACCCCAAGTCGGCGACCACCTCCAGTCGACCTCAGTCATGGTCGACACACACCCTTGGTCGACGACCACTCCTGGTCGACCAGCTCCATGTCGACCAGCACATCTGCCAGCCGACCACTCCTAGTCGGGCTTCACCAGGTCGGCGTCACCAAGTCGACGCCCCTATCAGGTCGACCTCCCAAGTCGACCTACCGAAGTCGGCGCCCTCCCGAAGTCAGCGCCCCACCCAGGTCGACGTCTCTCCTCATCGACCACCAGGGTGAAGTCGGCCGCCAGCTCCCAAAGTCGGCGGCTCTGCAGTGGCCCCGTGTAGGTCGGCCAAACCTGTCGACCAGCTCGCCCAAGACGGTGTCGCCCAAGGACACCCGACCACAAGGTAGGCTCCGCCCAAGCAATGACGGGGCCAACCATAACTCCCGTTGACACTGGCGTTATGAGCGGTCCACTGAGAACGAACTTTCTGGTCTGTGGTCTCAGTAGGGCCTAGCAACAGATCCGGAAGGTATGCTCAAAACAGGGAGATATCCTTCCTAGTGATGCTCTTAAGGAACCACTCTAAGTCCTCGAGCCAGTTCTCAAAATCGATCGGGTGCCCTCAGCATCAAAGGTGAGCAACGTAGGAGTAGCCATAGCAGCAGTAGTGGCAGCGGCAGCAGCAACAGCGCTTAGCAGCAGCAGCAGGGCAGCGCGGCTAAGTAAGGGCAACGGCAACACGGCTCGGGCAAGGGCAGCGCGGCTCGGGCAGGGCGGCGCGGCTCGGCAGGGCGGCGCAGCTCGGGCAGGGCACAGCGCAGCAGTGCGTGCAGTAGCAGCAATGGCAGCAGCGCGCTTAGCAGCAGCAGCAGCGCTTAGCAGTAGTAGCAGCGCTTAGCAAGCAGCAGCAGCGCATGCAGCAGTAGCAACTGCAGAAGTTGACAGCATCAGCAGTACGTAGCACGGGCAGGGAGCAGGCATGGTGCGTGTGGGGTGCGTGTGGGCAGGGCGCAGGCTACTGGCGGGCAGCGCGTTTGCGGGGCAGGGCAGCATGTGGGTGGGCAAAGCGCACTGACGGGGCCGGCAAAGCGTGGCAGCGCGCGGGTGGGCAGGCAGGGTGCGCGTGCAGAGCGCGCGGGCAGGTAGGGCGGCGCAGCAGCAAGCAGAGCGCGCGGCGGGCAGAGGCGGCGCGCTCAAGCAGGGCAGCGGGGCAGTGGGGCAGCTGGGCTAGGCAGTGAAAATTGACGTGCCTAGTCTAGTTTTGGGCAGGATAAAAACGCGACGCGCCTAGGGGCGCGATTCGGGCAGGGAACTAACGGTGTGCCCTCTTAAAATTCTTGTCCTAAGGACCTAATGGCTTTTGATACCATATTAGAAGATGTGAGAACAAGAATGGTTGGATTAGGTCAAGGGAGGGGCGTACAAGGAGAATGTCGAGATGATTTCTGTACCCCCTAAAGCTAGCCCCCATACAGCTTAGATACAACCAAGCATATATGTTTTTGACATACTCATCCGTCCCGACCGTTAATATTCTACATGATCTTCATTCTATTCATTCAGACTACCGGCCATTGCTGCCCAAGAAGATATGGGATTCTTTTTTTCAATGTGTGGAACATCCCTGCCCTTTATACTGAAAATTCAGAAGAAAGTACCCGGCGGGCCGACCCGTTGCAACATGCCACTCTTGGGTGACTTCTAATGTCACTTGTTGGCTGGATGTGGTTTTACGACCACTCGTTCTGAATCAGTCTACAGTTATTAAAGGCTCTCAAAGTCTAACCATCCAGTCTACAGTCATACGACGTGGAGTCCCTTTATTCATCAATTCCTCTGCTTGACGGCACTGATGCTGTCGATTACTTCCTCCAGAAAGAAAGATACCCCTTGGCTCCTCTCATCATTCGAGTATTCTGTTGGTTGTTGTTTGACAGCTACGTCTCTTTCGACGATATATTTTTTTGCCAAGTTCATGGCACTGCAATGGAAGCCTCTGTCGCTGTGTGCTTCACGGTTCTTTTAATGAGCTTTTTGGACATTCAATTACATTTATTTCTTCCATCTCCTCCCGCTCTCCACCTTCACTTTATTGACGATGACTTGCTATTGTAGGAAGGGAAGCGCGAAGATTTTCAGCGGCTGAAAGCGCGCCTTGACTCGCTTCACCCATTGATCCGTTTGACTTGGGCTATTTTTGAATCATCCATGGACTTCTTGGATGTCACTTTTCTCAAGGGTGAACGCTTCAACAGCACCGGCGTTTTGGATGTGAAGCTGTTTCAAAAACCAATGAATCGGTACCTTTACTTACCTTTCAGTTCATACCACACCAGTGATACAAAGATGGGTTTCATCGATACCCAAGTTCACAGTTTCTGTTGCGTTCATCATCACGCGCTAATTTTCTTTTACTCCCACGCCCTTTTCTTCCTTCAACTTAGAGCAAGAGGTTATCATGAGAGATTTTTGCTTCTGATTTTCAAGCCAGTGTCTTTCGCCTCTCGGAAGGAACTCATCGACCGTGCCTTAGTTATTCGCGATTCTCCTACACGTGGACCCCTTGTGCTGAAATCGCTTCTCAACCCCTTGGTTGACTGTTCGCACATGGGGAAAGATTTGTGTCGACTCAAAAGTCACATCGCTAGAATGGCACACGGCACTTTGTCTAGCAAGGAGAGCTATTATCGCGTGGAGGCTGCCGAAGAGGGTTTGAAATTACTTGATTTCTGCTTATAAATGTTAGAGTACAGTAGATGTTACTATTTTCTTTCATCTAGCTTTTTCCTTTGTCCCCAATTCCTCCGCGAGGTTTTTCCCGCGCGAGCATTGCTGGTTGACATTTCCTAGGCTATTAACCTCCTGACTCACCTGCGCTCCCTTGAGACCCGCTACGCTGCCGCCCTTGAGCCCGCCTTTAGGGCTGAGAACAAGCCACCCATTTATCTCACCCTTTACTTTCTCACAACCCACCTCCCTGACTCCCTTCGTGCTGTACGCGACCACTTCCTCGCTCTAGACCCCACGAAGATCACCCTCGCCTTGCTTGAGTCCCGTCTCTTAGAGGTTGAGTCTGCTGGCCTAGTTGTCGATGCCTCTCATGGAACTCCCCTCCCCTCTGTCTTTGAGGGGTGCTCTCCCTCCCTGCTTGCATCATCTGTTGCCTGTGCTGCTGCTGTTGGCCCCTTTGGTGTTGAGGAGGTCGGTGCTGCGTCTGCTCCTAGTGGGAAGCGCCGCAGCGGCAAGGGCAAGGGTGGCAAGGGTGGGGGTGGCGGGGGTGGTGGGAGCAGCGGTGGTGGCGGTGGAGGTGGTGGGGGAGGAGGAGGTGGAGGCTGCAGGGGAGGAGGAGGGGGTGGTGGGAGCAGTGGAGGTGGTGGAGGGGGTGGGGGTGGCACTAGAGGTGGAGTTGGAGGAGGAGGGGCTGGAGGTCAGGCCACTCGTTCAGCTGCGTCTGGTGGTGCAGCGGGGGGTGGAGGTGGCTCTGGGGGTGGCCACCAGCAGCAGCCGAGCCGCCAGGCGTAGCTCTCCCCGCAGCTGCTTTGTGAGTGGGCGATCCGATGTGGCAGCTCAGGTGGCCCACCTCGATGCGGGTACGTCCGTCGCACAGGTCAGCCTGGAGCGATCTGCACTCGCACCGACCACACCGAGTCTTGTTGCTTCTTTCGCCTCGACGATCTGTATCGTGCGGAGCATGGTGAGCACATGAAGACTCCTGACTGACTCGCTTTGCTGAAGCAGGACATATATGTTTTTGCTTGTGACTGGGCTGTGATCCATGGTGGCATGTATGCGATGTATGCTGCTTCTGCTAGTGTTGAGGATGAGTGTTACTCGTGTATGCCTAGCGTTGCTAGGGTAGAGGCTGCGAGTCTTGGTGCTTTTGACTTAGCTAGCACAGGTGTAGAGCCCGAGGAGGCCTTGCACACTTTTACTCTCAACTCAGGAGCGTCTCGTTGCTTCTTCCGCGACAGCACCACAGTCACACCGCTCACAGTCCCTGTCCCTGTCACACTGGCCGACCCCTCTAGGGACCCGGTAGTCGCGCGTGGTGCCACTATTCTCCCTTGTTCAGTGGCCCCGTCTGGCCTCCTCACAGGTCTCTACCTCTCCTCGTTCGCTAAGAACTTCTGTCACCCAGCCTGGAGGCGAGCTAGTGGCGATCTGTACACTGAGCACCTAGCCATGTTCACTCGGAGGCCAGGGTCTGGCCTGTACACATTAACCACTGAGCCTGCACTGGTAGCTGAGTCAGGTCAGGTAACTGCCTCGGTTGAGGTCGCTGCGTCTTGTTGGTGTCGTCTCCTCACGCACCAGACTCTCCTCTGGCACCACCGTCTTGGCCACCCCTCCTTGCCCCGCATGCGTGGTATGCATTCCCGTCTCCTTGTCTTTGGGCTTCCCAGGTTCCTGCCCCCGCTTCCGAGGTCGCTTGCGCCACCGTGTCTTCCCTGCGTCGAGGGGCGGCAGCGCGCCGCTCCTCACTCCTCGTTTCCTCCTACCATTGTTCCTCTACGCACCCTGCACATGGACGTGTGAGGCCTCGCCCGCGTCACTCGACAGGTTGGAGAGCGCTTCTTTCTGCTGGTTGTAGACGACTATACGCGCTACACCACGGTCTCCCCCTTGCAGAGCAAGGCAGATGTCCGCGGTGTCTTGATCCGATGGATCCGCACTGTCCGTCTCCAGCTTCACGCTCGGTTCCGTTAGGACATCCCAGTCCTGCGGCTGCACTCTGATCGAGGTGGTGAGTTTTGCTCCCGCCTCCTCGAGGACTTCTGTGGTGCTGAGGGCATTGTCCAGTCATACACGCTTCTGGCCTCTCCCCAGCAGAATGGGATTGCCGAGCACCGCATTGGTCTCGTCATGGAGGTTGCTCGCACCTCCATGATCCATGCGGTTGCTCCCCATTTTCTGTGGCCGTTTGCGGTCCGATATACGCCGCTGCGCAACTCAACCTCTGGCCCTGTGTCTCCCACCCAGAGACCTCCCCTACTTTACGGTGGATGGGCGAGGTTGGTGATGCGTCGGTGTTTCGAGTCTAGGGTTCCCTCTCTCTTGTCCGTGATTTTCCCACGGGCAAGCTCTCTCCACGCACTCTTTGGTGCATGTTCCTTGGCTTTCCCACCGACGCACCGCCCTAGAAGTTTTACCACATGTGCTCTAGTCGTGCTGTCCTCGCCGCGACGCCACCTTTGACGAGTCTGTCTGCTTCTACCGTCTTCACCCCCACCGAGTTCCCCGGTACCCCTCCCGCCTCTCTCCTTGGTGGACGACCCCCCCCCGGTAGCCCCCCTCCCTCCTCCCGGTCCCGCTCCCTCAGGTGTGTCTCAGGTAGACCCACCCCCCTTGGTTGAGTCTTTGGAGGTCTCCTCAGACACCTCTGGCCCAGCTGAGGGGGGTGACCAGACTGCCGACCCTTCGCCGCTCCGCGCGCTTGGCGGTCCCTCCTGGTTTTCCGCCTCGACCGTCTTCACCGCCTCTGCGGCCCGTCGCTGTGGACTCTGGTGTTGTTGGAGGTGGTGATTCTAGGGGTGCGGACTCTGGGGGTGCTGGCTCTGGGGGGTGCTGCGAGTCCTGCAGGTGCAGGGGGTGCTGGAGGTGCTGCTGCTGGAGGTTTTGCGGTTGGAGGTGAAGGTGGTACTGGTGCCGGTAGTGCTGGTGCACGTCGGCAGGCGACTCTCCTGCCGGAGCGGCTTCAAGAGTGGGCTGTCCGTTGGGGCAGTCCTGGTGGTGGCGCTGGACGTGCTCGAGCTGCAGGTATTGGAGGTACTGGCCGTGGAGGTGTTAGAACTGGTGTTCTTGGATTTGGCCGTGCTGGAGGTGCTGTTGCTAAGGATGCTGCTGCGGGTAGTCCTGGCTCGCGTCGACAGGAGCCTCTCTCCGCCGGAGCGGCTTCGAGAGTGGGCTGTCCGGTGGGGCAGCCCCAGTTGCGGAGCTGGACGTGCTGGAGCTGGAGGTACTAGAGGTGCTGGCCCTGTAGGTGCTAGTGCTGTTGTTCCTAGAGTTGGAGGTACTAGAGGTGCTGACACTGGAGGTGCTACTGAAGGTACTGGAGTTGGTGGTGCTGGTCAGTAGGAGTCGCTCTCGCCGCAGCAGCTTCGCGACTGGGCTGTCCGTTGGGGCAGTCCCGGTGGTGGAGCTGGAGGTGCTGATTCTTGGGGTGCTGTTCCTACTGAGGCTTGAGGTTCTGGGGGTGTGACTACTCAGCCGGAGCCGTCTGTGCTTCATCACCTTCTCAGTCTCCTTCCTGCTGCTACTGAGTTCCAGTTGCTGGTACTACTCCTCCGTTACTGTTCTCACCGACTGACCAGTCCTCCCACTACCAAACCCCCTACCCTCCGTGTCTTGTTGGCAGATGCAACCGTTAGTGGGAAATTCATCATTTACATGGATATATCAACGGCATTTCTCAATGGGATTTTAAAGGAGGATGTGTACATGACGCAGCCGCCTCGGTATGAGGATGGTACGGGCAGGGTGTGCAAGCTGAAAAAGTCCATCTACGGCTTGAAGCAGGCACCACGCTGCTGGTACCAGAAGTTGGCAACAGTTTTAGTGGAGATGGGATTCAGGACCAGCAGCTGTGATGAGAGCCTCTTTCTCAAATGGGAGGGGGAGAAGCTGCTGCTGTTTCTGGTCTACGTGGATGACATTCTTCTCTTTAGCAGTAGCATGAAGGAGATCCAGAATGTGCAGCAGCAGCTGATGGAGAGCAAGAACCTTGGGGAGGTAAAGTACTACCTCGGGATGCACATAGAGGGGGATCTAGATCACAGGTGGTTGAAGCTGCACCAGAAGAAGTTCATCAAAGATTTGGGGGAGAAGTATGAGATTGAGAATGAGCGCAAGGTTGCAACTCCCCTGCCAGCAGAATTCAAGCTTGTGAAGGCTGCAGAGGATGAAGGGGTTGAAGCCGAGGAGCAGCAGCAATTTCAGTCCTTGGTGGTCAGCCTCTTGTATGCAGCGGTTCACACGAGGCCCGACATCTCTTTCTCGGTTGGGCAGCTGGCTAGGGTGGTGCAGAATCCATCAGAGGAGCAGGTGGATGCAGCTGAGCATGTGGTGAAGTATCTGAACTCTCACCCAAGCATTGGAGTTCAATATTCCGCATCTGCACAAGTGAAGCAGAAAGGGGTTGAGGTGCTGAAAGAGAAACGGGGAGCAGCTTGGAGACGGCAAGCTGTTTCTCACTTGGTTTACTGATGCTATGTGGGGTTCTGAGAAGGAGGATTCCTCATCTGTGGGAGGATACATCTGTGTAGTTGGGGGAGGACCTGTTAGTTTGGAGGTCAAAGAAGCAGACGGAGACGGCACTCTCTTCCGTGGAGTCAGAGTACATGGCATTGTTTCACGGGGTGAAGGAGGTGATCTGGCTGAGGAGGCTGTTAGAGGAGATTGGCCAGGAGCATAAGGTTGCTACGCCACTGTTTTGTGATAGCAAGGGGGCTCTTGGGATGGCCAGGAATGCTGTGCATCATGGGCTCAACAAGCATATGCGTATCAAGTGGCATTGGCTGCGTAAGGAGGTAAAGAAGGGGACAATTAATCCGATCTACATCAAGACTCACCAGCAGCCAGCAGACTTCCTCACTAAAAATCTTGCTGATGAGCCTCATTGGCATTGTGTGCGCATGAGTGGAATCAGCATGAACTAGAATGGAATGATGGGGATGCAGCCGGCAGGCTGAGGGGGAGTATGTTGGATGCAAATTCATATTGCACAACATCTTGCCGTCTTTTTGTACGAGTATGCTTGTGCGAATGCATTTGTGTGTGAATGGAATGTTCGTATGTTTGTTTGCTTTCGCAATTTTCGCTTGATGCATTTGCAGATACTCGCCTAATGTGCGCTTTGGCACAACATTGTACGCACTATGAACAGTACAAGCAGAAAGGACGAGCTCGCAAAGGAACCCAAGATGGAAGCTTTGCGGTTCGGCTTACTTGATTGCGCAGATTCAGTTCTATCCAACTCGAAATTGTACTGTTTTGTTTGGTTCACTATAGTGTAGCAGGGCAGGCACGATATGCGGAGAGTCACTCTACAACAGTAGTGAGCTAGACTACTAGAGGTGATCGTAGCTTTGCTTGGTTCCTTAGTGCTTGCACATTCACGGGAGAAATCGGCAAGAGTTTCCACTAGCAAAGTTTTAATTACAGATTGATGAAACAAGCAATGACAACAATGACTACATCAGGCACCTAGCAACCCTGCTGCTAGCCTGGTTGACCGCCAGCACAGCTCGGTCGACCGCCTGCCAGCGTTGCGTAGAGGGGCCGCGCCAGCACTGCGGAAAGACGACCTGCCAACAGAGCAGGTCGACGGCGTGCCAACGCTGCAGCGGAGCGGCTGTCCAGCGTTGCCCCATAGAACACAGCAGTGCGCACGCTCGCAGGTGCGCGCAGACAATTGGCCCGACTTGCCTCGTTGGGCATCCGTCGGCTGTTGTCTGCGCCTGACAAGCCACATCCGTCGGATACCAGCCCGCAGTCGCCTTCGCAATCGTGACCTCGACGACGTTCGCGTGCCTCCGCAGAACTCGTCGAGCAGGTTACCCGGTTGACCCGGACGACCACCAGGCGCTTCCGGTCGACCCCCAGGTCCCTCTGGTCGACCATAACTCCCGTCGAGCTACCCCCTGGTCGACGGACCCCTTCCGTCGACCAGAACCGTCAGCGGTTGTCGCCGAGCTCCCCTCGTCGACCGTTGCTCACTTGTCAGGTCGACGGACTGCTCCGTCGACCTCCCGGTCGAACTGTAGGTCGACGCGATGCTCCGAAGACCTCCCGGTCGAACGGCACGTCGACGAGATGCTCTGGAGACCTCCCGTTCGAGCTGTAGGTCCTGGTCGACGTCCCACCCGTCGCTTAGACCAGTCAGTTGCAGCTGTCGAGCTCCCTGGTCGACAGCAGCACCACAGCAGTCCCCTGCAGCTCGACGAAGCCTGTCGAGCAGCTCTCCCACTGTGAACGGTCGTCCATAGCTACTGCCTGGCTCCCCACTGCCTGCTCTTGCTCTGCACACTGAGGTGACTGAGTCCCTGACTGAGCGTCGTGAGCCTGAGAATCGTGCTCGTCGTGTTGCCCGTCCTCGTGCTCCAGCTGTGCCAGGAACTCACCGTATGGCACTTCGTACTTCCTCTGTTCCACAGCGTGTTGTCCTGCCGTCGCCTCCCGCGTCTTCTCTTCCTCACGTTCCTGACCCTGAGTCTGACCTTGTCCGTACTGCCAGTCCGACTATCACTCGTCTCCTTGCCACGGTTGTGACTGACTCTTCCTTTGAGGTCTGCTGCTGCGTTTGCCTTAGTTGTTGAGCTTGTTGACTTTGCTGCTTTGTGCCGCCTTGACTACGCTACGAGTCTTGTATTTTACTCTTCCTGTCCTCCGTCCGTCGGGGGTGAGCTTGCCCTTGGCTGTGACGTTCTTGAGGACAGGCAGTTTGAGCTAGAGCACCTAGCGGGTGCTGCACCTCATCTCGCGTCCACGCTACTCGGCCCTGAGTGAGACCCGGATGCACTCGACATCCCGCGCCTCGCTCTTACGCATTCGATCACGGGTCCGTACTCCTCTCAATGGCAGATAGCCATGGAC